CGTTGGGCACGTGGTTAGCCTCATCTGCGGAGCCCTTTCCAAGTGGGAATGACAAAAGGTGCTCGCGCTCAGAGAGTGAGCCACAGTGAGGTGACAGAGGAGAGCCTAGTGGAAACTGTACACAGAACAGAGTCCCTGTTACCTTATGATGCCTCCTGCAGCGACCTCTGACCTCTTTCTTTTAGGCACTTGTGCTGATTGGCCCTCTTTGCAGGAAAGTCCCAGGATATTCAGACGGGAGACCTGAGCCTCGCAAGCCACAGGATCTTTGCTCATCTTTATGTGCCCAACCTCACACACAGGAATCACTTAACAAAAGGCGGTTAAATTAAATTAAATTTTAGCATTTTGTGGATTTCTGGTCAAATCCCTAAACTTGCCAGAGCTATCCCAGTTCAAGTTTGCATTTTCTCTGAGACAGGCTAGAGTCTGAAGTTACCTAACAACGTCCTGTGCCCTCTCTTCACCACAGTCCTACACGCGGCCCCTGCCTCTTGAGGCATATCTCTGCTGACTTCTGTGGTGTGTCAGTCCAGGGCGCTGGAGGGCTTAGGGAGTTCCGAAGTAGGTGCCAAGGCCATGGCAACCGTTTGACTCTTGCCTGCCAAGCAGTTTAGCACGCTGGGCACTAGTGGGGATCGAGAGAACTGGCTTTCACGAGAGTGGCTGTGAGCTGGTGATCATTAGCTGGCTGGAGGGCACAGGGGCATTTATTGTACTGTTCTCCCTACGTATGTATGTTTGAAGTTTTCCAGAATAAAACGTGAAACAAACCATTGAGCTGGGGTTTGTCCCCGGTTCACATCCCGTATATCATTTCCTCATCTAACACAACACATTAATGCTATATGTGCATTAGGCTAGCCTGGTAGCATAAGACTGTATCACCACTACGGAAGCATCTTCATGGAAAGGGGACAGTTTTAGGTGTTGGGAGTTCAGGATGCTTGGCCCAGCTCTGATACTCCTTGGCTGTGTGTCTCTAAGCAAGCCACAGATGTGATGAGTTTTCTCATCTGTTTAGTGCAAATTATATCACTTGTCCTCCATCTCAGGGATATCCAGAGGGTAAGGAGAGAAATAACACCTGATAAAGCAATGCTTTGAAGAGTCAAGGACCGTTCTGCAAGTTCTTTCTGCTTATCCTTGCGCATCTTTATGGGAGGTACAAATACAAGGTGACTTAGCAGTTGAGGTTCATCTTACTGGTACCTTCCCTTAACATGCTGTGTTATATAGCCACAGCTCTGGCCACCTGCTTCTGTCGGAAGAGCCTCTGGGCCTTGGCTTGGCAGCAGGCACCTTGCTCCAGATCCATTTAGAAACCTTTTAGCTCCCTTCACATGCCGAGACAAGCCTAACAAGAGTGCCGTCTCCCTTGCCAGCATCCGCAAGGCAGGGAGAGGATTAAGCAGAGCACTTGATGGGTTCAAAACCTTGATGTCATGAGGATGCTGGATTGGGGAAAGTGCTCCCTACAGACTAGGTAGAATCTCAGGTGTCACAGCGAGGCAGAGACCAATGACATATCTTGTTTCCAAAGTCCCTGGAGATTTTGATAATTTGGGTTTCCACTCTCCCAGTGGAATCTGAGCTGCAGTTTTAACAATCAATAAGAGGGAATTAACATTCACCAAACTTTTTTTTAACAACACAAAAGGATTGAGTTTCCCCTGCCCTTAGGGTTTTACTTGGGTGCTTTTTCTGCTAATTCTTAGCCCAGGGCTAGGTTGCAAGACTCCAAGGTCCTACCTTCGGATCTGCCACTTTTTTTTTTTTTTTTAATTATGCAGGGAAAGTAAAATCCCCTTAAAGGACAAAGAAAACCAAACATGAAGCCTCCGGGCCTTCTGTGGAGGCCCCACAAGGTTCTGTTGTGTCTTTTCAGCTGTGATCTTAGCTCAGAGAAGGTCATGTTTTGTTTTTATCTTTTGTCTTCCTGCCCGTTCCAGTTGGTCCCAGTCTTTTGAGGTGGGGATTGCTGGGAGGTCACAATGTCGGATTGTTTGGGATGACAGTTCCGGGAGAGCAGGGCTGACTGAGGTCATGTGTCCAGTGTTCTGAGCAGCCCAGAACCGAAAGACTCCATCACCTGACCCGTCAGTGGTTTAATTGTTGGGCCTTTCTCTACGGGTCTACTGACCCTGTTTTCTAAACAAAAAGTCAGGACACATGATAAATGTCTGTGCTTATGGAGGTTAAAGCGTCAGAATATTTGAGACCAGGGTACCCTGGGAAATCTGGGGTGTAGGTTCGCCTTAGTGCCAAGGATCCTGAGAGACCCTATAAAATATTTCATTCTTAACAGTCTACCGGACTCATTGTGAAATCAACATTGTTTGCAGTTTCTGGATGGGTAAGGAGCACAGTAGCTAAAAACAGGCATTTTGGAATGAGAATCCCAGCCCTACTACTTACCAGCTACAGAACTCTCTGTCCCTCTGTGTCCTCACCTGAGAGTATGGACTAGTGCCCACTCCTTGTCTCGTGGGTTCTCTTGAAAATTAAAGAGGCCACACGTGCCTGGCATATAGTAAGGACTCAATAAATAATAGCTGTTTGTTGCGTATAATGGGAGAATGATATTGTAAAAGTCAGATGTGGGGTGAGAAGCAATATTGGTGGTTAACCTATCAAGGACAGGCTCACTGATGCTCCAGGGTAATTTCAGTGACATACAGGAGGTGGCTGGGTTTTCTGAAGCCATGTGGCTCCTGAAGAAGGGAAAGGAGATTTTTTTTAAATGACAATTTTTTTAACCTTTTTTTTTTTTATTTAAGTATAGTTGATTTACAGTGTTGTGCTGATTTCTTCTGTACAGCAAAGTGATTTAGTTATACATACATATACATTCTTTTTTTTTACATTCTTTTCCATTATGGTTTATCCCAGGATATTGGATATAGTTCCCTGTGCTATACAGGAGGACCTTGTTGTTTATCCATTGTAAATGTAATAGTTTGCCTCTACTAACCCTAAACTCCCAGTCCATCCCTCCCTCCCTCTCTCCCCACTGGCAACCACAAGTCTGTTCTCTAATGACAAATTTTTATTATGGGAAATTCTAGGCATATACTCAAGTAGAGAGACCAGTACACACATCACTCAGCTTCAGAAATTATCAACATGTTCACAAATCTTACTGCATGTATCTCCCTCCACTCCAGCTCCTCGCCTCCTGTGGTGAAGTGTTTTAAAGCAAACCAGAGGCATTATATCATTTCACCTGTAAGCCATATGTATCTCTAACAGATGACATTAAAAAATACTATCAAGACTCCCTGCTTCCACTGCAGGGGGCACGGGTTTGATCCCTGGTCGGGAAACTAAGATCCCACATGCTGCACGGAGCAGCCAAAAAAATAAAAACTAAAAAAATTAAAAATAATAGGGCTTCCCTGGTGGCGCAGTGGTTGAGAATCTGCCTGCCAATGCGGGGGACACGGGTTCGAGCCCCAGTCTGGGAAGATCCACATGCCGCGGAGCAACTAGGCCCGTGCGTCACAACTACTGAGCCTGCGCATCTGGAGCCTGTGCTCCGCAACAAGAGAGGCCGCGACAGTGAGAGGCCCACGCACCGCGATGAAGAGTGGACCCTGCTCGCCGCAACTAGAGAAAGCCCTCGCACAGAAACGAAGACCCAACACAGCCAAAAATAAATACCTAAATTAACTTAAAAAATAAATAAATAAATACATAAATAAATAATAGGGACTTCCCTGGCGGTCCAGTGGTTAAGATTCCATGCTCCCAATGCAGGGGGCATGGGTTCAATCCCTGGTTGGGGAACTAAGATTCTGTATGGCCCATGGCGTGGGCAAAAAAAATTTTTTTAATAAATAATTTTTTTAAAAATTATAAATAAATAAATAAAAATAAAAAATATGTTATCAATCTAGAAAATTAACAATTCTTCTTTAAAATCACCTGATAGTAGGGAGACCATATGTCATGGTTTGGGACAGACCAAATTTATGCTTGTTGCCAAACATAATTATTAATAGCACCCTGGAAGGGGGATTTAAAAAGTCCTGGTGGTGGATGTGTCTTCCGGCCCTTCTCTGCTTTGTGCCCCCTCTGCGCCTGTGTCTCCCTTCTCATACACACTCATACATCCTTCTTCATTTTCTCATCCCCGACCCAGGTTTTTTTTCTCTAAAAGATGTTCAGGAGACATCTGGGTAAATTCCCCTGCCTGGAAATATTATAGGTGTCTCCTTGGCTTGTTCTGAATTTGTCTAAAGTGTTTTCTAAAGACTTGTGGTTTTCTCCAGAGGCTACAGCAAAATATCTACCAATTTTCTGATTTGCATTTTATAACTTAAAGGAAAGAGTGAGAATCCGTTCCAAAACAGGATGATTTGATGACAATATATGAAATCCCAACTAAATAGAAAGTTTTCAAGGAAATTTGAAGCATTACATTTTCGTTCCATTTTTTCCCATCTAAAATCTGTACAGTTGTAAAGAATCAGTACTCACCTGGGAACCAGGGTTCCGCCTCCAGTTAGCCATGTGATCATGGATGAATCTGTTACCCACTTTAAGCCTTCCCTAAACACCCTCCCCCCAGCATAGTCCACTCCATATCTCTGCTTCCATTTATCTGCGTATTGATTAGCAATTGCGACTACATTGTAATTTTGCAATTAGACTTTACTAAGAGTTCTTCAAAAAGACAAGGGCACCTCTCTCATTTCCCTTTGCATCTCCAGTGCCTAGAACAGTGTCTGGCACATAGATGTTTGTTGAATGAATAAATTTTTGTTAAATGGATAGTTGAATGAAAAACAAATGAGCCTTACTTTTCACTTCTGTAACCATGAGACTAGGTTCTCCTTGCGGTTTCTTGGGTTTTGTGATTTCCTGAGGTTGCACAGCTACCTTCTGATGGAACGGGACATGCTGAGCTCAGAGAGCTGGCCATGGGACAGAGGGAGAGCCAGACTCACTTACCTTCCCCCGCCCTGTTTCCTCTGTCCTCCTTTGGTCTCCTCCTCCTTTCCGCAGAGAACTCTTCCTCACACACTTACTTATCTTTTCCCCTCTCTGTGTGCTGGCCCTCAGGGCTCCCTGGAATCTCCAGAAGTTGCTTCCATCATGGCAGAACTCAAGGTGGAGACCAGGACCAGTGTGGACTGGCAGAAGCGCTGCCTGGCCCTGGAAAGCCAGCTATTCCGGTTCCGCCTGCAGGCCAGCAAGATAAGGGAGCTGTTGGCCGACAAGGTGAGTCCTGGAGAGCAGGCAGCCTCTAATGTCTCTGCAGAGGTCACTGTCAGAGAGGGAGAGTTGGGGAAAGCCAACTTTCTTTTTTCCTTTTTTTCCTGATTGGTTGATAGATTGAAATATATTTGACATATAACATTGTGTTTGATTGGTTGATAGATTGAAATATATTTGACATATAACATTGTGTAATTCAAGGTGAACATGTTAATTTGACCCATTTATATATTTTAATATGATTGCCATTGTAGCAGTAATTAGAACGTCTATCATATTCCATAATAATCATTTCTTTTTAGTGGTTGGAATAATTAAGTTCCAGTCTCTTAGCAAGTTTGATGATTATAGTACAATATTGTTGTCTGTATTCACTATACTGTGCATTAGATCTCCAGGGCTTATTTATTCTCTGTTGCAGGAAGGTGAACTTTTAATAAGGTGCTTTCCATTCTTGTAAAATGAAACCCAAGGTAGTTTGTTTTTTCAAAGACCAAATTCTAAGCAGTTGACTAATCTGTCATCTTGCATCCTTTCCTGCTCTGCTTCTCCATGTGACACACCAAAGAAACCATACAGGTCTTCACGGTCGTGCATCATCTCTTGAGTCACGTGTATGTACAGTGGAGGTTCTATTATTCCCCTAACATTTCTTCCTCAATGTGGGGAAGGACGATATTTTAGGAGAGAAGAATGGATATCCCCACCCTGCTGCTCACCCTCTATTAAGATTATGAGCTGTGGAAGGCAGGCTGGTTTCTGGTGACAATGATACAGATTTTGGAGCCAGACCTGCCTGGCTCTGCCACTTCCTAGCTACGTGACCGTGGGCAAGTCCCTTCACTTCTCAGGCAGGGACACACATGTCTGCCTTTCGGAATTATTTTGAGAATTGTATCAGATGACATATATAAAGGTTCTGGCATAGAATCGGTTTTAAATGGGAACAGTTATTATCTTTACAGGTTTGGGTGGGCTGGGCTGGGAAACTGACCATTATTCATAATGTTTCCATGGGAAGATACATTCTAAACGGCTGTTTTCAGAGGCATTTTGGAGCATAACCCATCTAGAAAGTGGCAACCTACACTAAATTATATATATCTTAATTGAATCAACCATTCTGTCTATAGTTTTGTTTACAGTAGCCATCTGCTAGTAAACCCTTCTTTCCTAGTACAAAAGTAAAATTCAGTCCACCTCTAAGTAATGCCAAAGTCTTGATGAATAAAGCCTGCATAAATGACCTGTTTTCTTGACAACCCCACAACCTGGAGTCCAAGAAGACCAGTCATTGACATCACCTCTGCCCTTCCACTGCTGAGGGGAGTGGCCCTAGACTAGCTTGGACTAGAATTCATGAACCTTGGGTGTGCTGGCATTGCTGTCTCCTAGTTCAGGCTTTGCAGACTGGAGACTGGCAGGGTTCCTTTGGGTGTGGTTCAGGTACTGCTAGTAGAATTCAGCCACCTCGGGGAAAGGGAAATAAACCTTAGACACTGGTGTGGTCCTGGGTCCCCCTATGCCAGAAAGCTAGAGTGCTGGTTAACCATGTATGTTCCTGGGCCCCACCCCAGTCCTCCTGATGCAAGTCTCGTGCTGCTAATTATCTGTATGTTTCAGAAGCGCCCAGAAGTTGGTCTTGTACGCTATCAAATTTGAGAACTTTGTCTTGTGTATGGAATTGGAGGTGTGCGAGGGAAGGAAGGGATAAGAAGGGATTGATTCAGCCAGCTGGTCTAAAGCACATCTCAGAGCCAGGAGACTTCTGTTTCTAGTAATAACCTAAAAATGACCACCATGAGACACCTACTCATACTAGATTCAATATTTAAAATATCCTTCTAAGTGCAGAGCTGTGTACTAAAAAAATGAGAGGAATCCTCAGGGGGCAAAATGAAGAGGAAAAACCAGAGTGGAACTCAACACTGGCAGCTGAGTTGGGACGGGTGAGTGTGACCTCCCTTTAGTAATGCAACTGTCAAGGTTGAGTTTTAACATCTGTGGAGACAGAGATGAGGTCTGGCCAGTTGGAGGCTGGAGCTGAAACTGAAACTTCCCAGGTAAAGTCAGGACTATCAAAGGAATTTACACGAAATAAAAAGGTGCACAAGGAGAAGAAAATCACCCACCAGCACAGGGAGAAGACAGAACAGCTTCTCATACTTAGCCAAGGCTCTGGGCAGAAAAAAGAAAAATAAAATGAAAATTGTTTCCCAAGAGCCTGATGACGTTAGTGGTTTAACATGAGAATTTATACTATCTGTGTGGATTAGGAACATGAAGTTCTGGGCCAGTGATAACCCCAGAGACCTTGTAGAAGCAGACACAGAACCTCTTCTGGAGGAACAAGACCTCAGCCCTGATTACACAGGATCCCCACAGAGAAAAATAACGTCCTTAGTGAAGATGAATATATGATCCACGATGACTAAATACTTGGGAGAATAACCCACAGTGAGAGAGAGTCCACGTATGCAACAAACAACTGGACTCGATCACCACAAGAATTTCTAATAATAGAACCGTTGGCAACACACTAAATCAATGTGTTCAGAACTATTGAAAGGAATTCCCTGGCGATCCAGCGGTTAGGACTCTGCTTTCACTGCCGAAGGCCTGGGTTCAATCCCTGTCGGGGAACTGAGATCCTGCAAGCTGCGTGGTATGCCCCACCCCACCAAAAAAAAACTATTGAAGACATAATAAAGTAATTGAAAATATAAGACAAGAACAAGACACCATCCAAAAAGGTGAGAAAAAGAACCAAATAGAACTGCCAGAAATGAAAAATGTTTGCAATGAAATTAAGTGTTCAGTGGATAGATTAATGTCAGATTAGGCACCACGTGAGACAGACTTCACGAACAGAAAGATAGACCTGAGGGCAGCATAGAGAGATGAAGACACAGGCTGAGATGTGGTTGCCAGAATGGCAGGATCCTTATAGAGATTCCAGAAGTGGAGAAGAAAGTGAAAGAGAGGCATGATTCAAAGAGATAATGGCTTTAAAGTTTCCAAACTGGGTGAAAGACTTAAAGCCTCAGACTTAGGAAGCAGGATAAGACCAAGCAGTATATATGTTTAAAAAATCCATTCCTTTTCATGTAACATTCCAGACATAAGCAATCTAGCTCTGGGGGGAGGTCTGCTACATGTTTGAAGGTGGTTCACCCTCATGTCCACATTCCAACTCCTTCCCTTTGATAGCACGGGCCAAAGGTTGCCTTCATTCCTTCTGCTCACATCCCATTGGCCACTTATTCATGTGGTTATACCAGGCTGCAGGAAAGATTGGAAAGTGTAGTCTTTATTCTGGATAATGATATGCTCTGTTAAAAGTCAGAGTTCGTATGAAAGAGCAGTGGAGAACAGAACGTGGGGAACAAAGAGCAGTCTTTAAGTCTAGATTTTAAGTCTAGAATAATAGAGATAACAAATAGAAATAGAGCGTATAACTTTCAAATCAGGAGAGCAGCTACTGGAAATGGAATAAAGTCTATTAAATCCAGGTGAGGAAGAGAGAAAGGAGTATAGGAAAAAAGTAGGAAATACAAAGCACAAAATGCAATGGTAGCAATAAATCCAAACACAACATTTTAAACCAACTATACTTCAATTTAAAAAAACAAAGAAAGAATCCAAATATATTGGTCATAAATAGACCTATACAAGAATGTCCTTTGCAGCAATGATGCATGAAAAATTGGAAATACTCTAAATGTCTATCAACGGGGGATGGATAACCATGTTGAGTGTATTTGTACGATGGAATAGTACATTGCAGTTAAAAATGAGTCAAGTAAAGCTACATGTATAAGGTCAATAAATCTCAAAAACCAACATTGAACAAAAGAGATCAGAAGGATATATATATAGAACAATACAGTTTATATAAAGTTTTAAAACCTGCACAAAACAGTACTCTCTGTTGTTTAGGGGTGTATACAAATGAGGCAAAAATGTAAACACAGCCAAGCATAGGGTAAGTACACTTGGAAGGAGAGGGGTAACATTGGAGAGAGGTACACTGGAGGCTTCACATGTCTGTTGTGGTCCATTTCTTAGGAACAGCAGAAGCAGAGATGACAAAAATTAAGATTTGACCAAGATGAATGGTGGATACATGTTTTAAAAAAATATTCTCTGCATGTTTCTGTTGGCCTGAAATATTTCATGATAGAAAAATATTTTTAAATGCCTTCCTCCTCTATTCCCCAGGGGCCTCAAACACATTATAAACAAACACCCTCTTCTTCCACAGCCCCTTGGGTCTGGGTAGGTTGAACTTCTATAATATCGGCCCCTTCTTCTCTTCCAGACTGTATTTGCTCACCAGCAAAGTAACCAGAATGCCCTCCCATAACAATGTTGGGGGCTCAGAGCGTGACTTGGGTAAAGAAAGGAGAAGGGTATAGACACAGGGCAGAAGAGCCTGGCGGTGTGGGAGGGGAGAGAAAGAAATCTCTACTAGGAATCATGGGCTGGGAGACCTAAGTAGGGAAGAGGGCTGGGACATTAGTCTGACACTGGACCTCTTGGCAGGAAACCTTAAGGCCGTAAACACCATGTTGCTCAATGTGAGGGCTGTGCCTATCACCTGCTGTCATCCCCAAACCAGTAGGCCGGGTTCAACAATTCATTAGAGGTTTTCCCCAATACGTCAAGGTAACTTTCAGGTCAGAGGAAGAGATGACCCAGATTTCTCAGGAGAGCTCCTGCGGGCCTGGGCCCTGGTCCCCGTCTCTGTTGCTGCTCCCAGAACTTACTAGTTAGTCATCGTCAGCACCCACCTGCACCCAGGTGAGCCAGGTCAGCTGGGTCCCTCTGGCCAGCCCCCGCCCTCGCCTGTCCCCTCCACCTCTGCCGTTCCGCACAGCCCGCCCGGCCGCCCGTGGAGATTGCATTGCCTGGATGACGGATGGCCACTCACTCGCTGCAGGCGGTCGTATAGGGCAGGCCAAGCCTGTGTGTTTCCCAGGGGCCCAGCCCTGCCTGGGATC